GGCAGAAGGATCCAGAGTTCAAGGCCAGCCTTGCAACCTAGTGAGGCCCTAAGCAACTCAGCAAGACCCTGTGTCTAAATAAAATATATTTTTAAAAAAGGGCTGGGAATGTGGCTCAGTGGTTAAATTCTCTGTGTTCAATCCCTGGAAGGAAGAAGTAGGAAGAGGAGGAGGAGAAGGGAGAAGGAGAAGGGCTCAATATCTTGGGAAATGCAAGTTTAAGCCAAAATGAGGGCTGAGGGTGCAGCTCGGCGGCAGAGTGCTTGGTGATAGGTCTCCAGCCTGGCTACCTGGCAGACTTTGGACTTGCCTGGACCTCCCAAGCCTCCACAGTCATGTAAGCCAATTCCTTGAGATCTCTCCACCCCCTCTCTTTCCCTCTCCCCCTTCCTCCCTCCCTCTCCCACACACTATGGGTTCTGATTCTTTGGAGAATCCTCACTAATACAAAACTCAAGGAAGAGTGCATAGGTCCATCAAAGGGCTCCTACAAGGATGTTCGTCGTGACTTGATCCATAACAGCCCCAGACCAGGGACAACCCGCATGTCAAGCCGTGAGAGAGAGAAAGGAGAGGTGGACTGTGGTCTGAACCCCCTCACCCAGCAAGAGGAGTCCCCCAGACATCCCACTAAGCAAAAGAAGCTGCCTCAGGATGCACAGGATGTGACTCCATGTAAGTGGAATTTTAAAGGCACCAACTAGTTTTGTGGAGTTGGAGGTCAGCACAGTGCCTGGGAGGGTACGAGCTAAGGGGCAGGATGAGGGAAACTTCTGGAATGCTGGAGTGGTCACATGGGTGTGTGCCTGAACAATAGCTCCCCACACGTCCTCTCCGGAGCACCACACGCTACACTTTGGAGTCTGCTGTACGCCCAGAAGCAGGCTCTTCATTACGCGGACGGAGTCATCTTTCCGTAACTGGTTTCCGGCTCTCTTGCACTGTGTGCAGAAAACCTGCTTTGATTTCAATCCACTGAAGCATTTTGAAGTCAGGCCCCACAGAGGATCCACTCTGTGTGTCCTCATGTCCTGGGAATGAAGGTGTATTCTGCAGGCCTTCAGATCTTCAGAGTTCCTCTGACAGTTTTTCCTGCTATTCTGTCAACTATTGGAGGGTCAAAATACTCCCCCCCCCCAACAATCTGGAAGGAAATATAAAGGACACAAAATTGGCAAATACAAGTGTGTATGTGCAGGCACACGCACACACACACTCTTAGAATGATCGACACTGTGTGTCTCACGACCGTGATTTGCTTTAAGTAGCTCAAGGCCATGTTATTAGATGCACACAAATTCATAATTTTTACAACTTCCTGATAAATACTGAACGTTTTTTCCCATTCACAAATTTCCGTCTGTATTTTTATTTCAATTGATTCATTTATTTTGTGGTGCTGGGAATTGAACCCAGGGTCTTGCACTTACTAAGCAAGCACTCTACCTCAGAGCTGCCCCCAGCCTATCCCTGTCTTGGAAGCTTCTCTATTTGTTATTTATTTTCTTCTTCCAAGTGCCGTTGGCCTGGCAAGGATAGAGATGCCCTAGATTTCCCTTGGTTGATGCCTGTGTGGGGCACCTTCTTCTACTACCCTTCTAGAGTGTTCCTTGTTAACAGACTAGGATTTGATTTTCTTTTGTTTTTCATTTTTTACAGTCTCCGTCTTTTAACGAGAGTGTTTGAATCTATTTAAACATTTCATTTTGAGATGAGATAGCATCTTACGATGTCACAGCCAGGACATTGATGTTGACATGACCTATGGATCTTGCTTGGGTTTCCGCAGTTTGGGTTGGCCTGGTGTCTGAGTTCTATGCAATTGCATCCTCCCCTGGGTGGTTCCTAGATCCACAGCACAGTCTGCATACAGCAGCTTCATACAAGGCCCATAGACACCTTTTAATAACCACTCCTGCTCCCCCTGACTCCTGTCCTTAATCTCAGGCAACCACTAACCTGTTCTCCATCGCCATAATTTTTTCATTTCCAGGATGTTACATAAATGGAATCAAACAGTATGTAACCTGTGGGGATTAGCTTTTTCTCCCACTCAGTAGGATTCTGCAGACAGTCGCCCAGCCTGTCACCAGTATCCACAGCTCGTCCCTTTTCATGGCTGAGTAGCTGTCCACGCCATTAACAGCAGCCGTTGAGGGACATCTGGGTTACTTCTACTTTGGGGCTATTATGAGTAAAACTGCTAGAAATTGCACACGAATGACGTGTAAAATTTGTTAAGCGTTCTAGGTTGTTCTTTCTTTTTTTTACGGTGCTGGGAAATGTGAATCAAGTCCTCTGCCATTGAGCTACACCCCCAGCCCCCAGAATTTGTTTTTTTTGTTGTTGTTGTTGTTTCTTTTTAGTTATACACACCATTAGGATTCATTTGACATGATTTTAAAAACATGGAATATAATTTGCTCAAAATCAGTCCTGAGTATTCCCCTTCTCTCCCCCAGCCCCCAAAATTTAAAAAAAAATTCCTATCATCAACATTCATGTGCAAGTTTTTCATGTGTGAACCTAAGTTTCCATTTCTTTGGAATAAATTATCCAGGAGTGCAAAATTTGCTGGGTAGAATGGTGATCTGCCTAACCGTCTTCCAGAGCAAAGGTACCGATTTACATTCCCACCAGAAACAGAAGAGCAATCAGCTTCCAGGAACTCTCGCCAGTGTCCGCAGTGGTGATTTTTCTAGCAGCTCTGATAGGTGTTGGGAGGTCTCGTGGTGGTTTTAATTTGCATTTCCTGCCCGGCTGAGGTTGAACACCTCTTCCTGTGTGTCTTCGTTGGAGAAATATGTAGAGACAGAAATGTCTGAGGGCTCAGTACTGTGGGGTCTCAAGAGGGGTCTCCCCACTTGAGAGGGTCTCCCCTCACCCACAGGGGTTGCCTAAAAGCTCAGAGTGCCAAATCCTCTGTCTCTGTGTTTTTTCCTATAGATAAAGTCTAATTTACAAATTAGGCACAGTAAGACATTAACAGCCGTAACTAATATTAGAACCATATGACAATATACTGTCATCAAAGTTACTTTAAAACTTATGAATTGTATTTCTGGAATTTTCCATTTCATATTTTTAGATCACAAATAACTGAAACCAGGAACAGCAACACGGTTGGAGGCGGGGACTCTTCTGGAGGCTGGGCCTTCACTGGACACAAATATTTCTCCCACTCCCAACTGTCTTCTCATTCTCTTAACAGGGTGTTTTCCAGAGCAAACTTTTTCGGTTTTTGTAAGGTGCAGTTTATTCGTTTTTCCTTTTATGGGTCACACTTCAGTATCAAGTCAAAGAAATCTTTGCCTGGCTCCAAATCCTGAGGGTTTTCTCCCATCTCTTCTCTTAAAGTTATATAATCCCACACTTCCCGTTAATGTTCGCGTAAGACGTGAGGTTTAGAAGACATTTCTCTGTCGGCCTGTGGACGCCTTTTTGCTGCCAGACCTTGTGTGGAAAGGGCTCTCCTTCCTCCACTGAATTGTTTTGGCATCTCTGTGAGTGATCAGTAGAAGGAAATTCTTTTATTTTTTTATTTTTTTTTTGGTACCCAGGATTGAACCCAGGGGTGCTTAACCACTGAGCCACATCCCCAGCCCGTCTTATTTTATTGTTTTAAAATATTTATTTTCGTTGTAAATGAACACGATGCCTTATTTTACTTATTTATTTTGTTAGGTGGGTGCTAAGGATCCAACCCAGTGCCTCACACGTGCTAGGCAAGCGCTCTACCACTGAGCCACAACCCAGCCCCCCATTTTATTTTTTATTTTGAGACAGGATCTCACTTGGTTGTGTACAGTCTCACTAAGTTGCTGAGGATGGTTTCGAATCTGTGATCGTCCCGCCTCAGCCTCCCGAGCCTCTGGGATTACACTATACCTGGCAATGGAAGGAAATTCTGATTTGTGCTGCAACCTGGGTGAAACTTGAGGACACCTTGCTAAGTGATATAAGCCTCACAAAATGGCAAATGCTGCTTGTGGCCACGCCTGTAATCCCAGTGGTTCAGGAGGCTGAGGCAGGAGGATCGCAAGTTCAAGGTCAGCCTCAGCAATGTAGCAAAACCCTACCTCAAAATAAAAAATAAAAAGGGCAGGGGATGTGGCTCAGTGGTTCAGTACCCCTGGATTCAATCCCCAGTGTTGCAAAAAAAAAAAAAAAAAAAGATGGAAATTTTTATGTTATGTATATTTTTCCACAATAAAAAAAAATGGGGTGGGGGAAGCTGGAGTTGTGGCTCAGTGGTAGAGCACTTGCCAGGCATGTGCGAGGCCCTGGGTTTGATCCTCAGCACTGCATATAAATATATTAAAGATCCATCAACAATTAAAAATGAATAAAAATGGGGAAAAGTTAGTGGAGCATATTCGCGTGGCCGTCTGTTGATACTTCAATGGCTGATGCGGTTCCTGTCTGCCGTCTGTCTTTGTCTGTCTGGCCCGCCGGTTCTGTTCTCTTCACTGCGAGCTTTTGCAGGGTGGAGAGCGTCATTCTGATTCTTCACTCCCTGTCTCCATCCCAGTTTTAGAGTTACCCCCAGAACTGTCCCCACCAACTCCTCGTTTGTGTCTGCGGTGCTGGGGGGAGCCCAGGGCCCAAGCCACCACTGAGCTGCACCCCACTGACTCCCTCCCGCCATCCCCTACCTGTGGTCACTGGCCTTCTTCCTGAAGAACACCCACGGCCCATGGAAAGGACCACAGACTTCTGATTTTGTTGCTTTTCCACCAGGAGAGAAGGTATTTGTCCCCCTCCTGAGGCTGGCTGGCTTTGTGTGCTGGCTTCGGCCATGGGATGGTACCAAAGCGGAAAGCTCTGGAGGCCTGAGGCCAGCACATGGTCAGGCTCCGGCTGGCCTCCAGGCCAGTGAGGACCAGGGGCAGAGCTCCCAGGCCTCCAGCTGAGGCCCCTGCCTGGCCCAGAAGAGACCCTCAGCCAAGCCACAGAACTAGTGTTATGGGGAGCCACTCCAGAAAGCACTCAAGTCCGGATTCCAAATCAAAAGAGGGCTTTATTTACCTGGCCAGGGGCGGACACTCACCGCAGAGACCAAGCTCTGTGGGAGGGCAGCAGCTTCCTGGTCCATCTAAGGGGAATCTAAGCACAAAAACCACAACTCAGTGACCTGCTTATCGTCACAGAAGCTAGCCAATCCCAGAAATTAAAACACTGATAAGTGGGACCTGTGGGCTCTGGGCAGGACTGGACTTTTCCAGGCAGCAAGCAAGCGGTAAACAGAAGCTAAAAACGCATTAGCTTTGCAGTTCAATGGACCACAGTCCCGGGCTCGAGCAGGTGCTAGACAGTCGCATCCTGAATTTGGGCGGGGGTCGGAGGGGCGAGAATCTTCTTAGCCCCACGAGGGCATTCACACCCAGGTCGTAGCTCACCGCGACCACTGCTGCATCCTGAGTAGGGTTCAATTTGTGGGGTACAAAGTACAGAAAAGCAATCTTCTATAAGAAAACGGCTTTAGTTTCTATTTCCTAGAAATGGGGCATGCAGTTCTCCCTTCACAGGGACAGTAAAAAAGAAACTAAGATGGAGTTTTTATAGTCACATCTTTTTACTCAAATGACTACAGTGGCCCTATTCCTGTAATCCCAGCAAGGTGGGAGTTCTCGCAAGTGACTAATGAGTCTCCACCAGAGCAACTGCTTTGCACACTCAGTAAACTAGTAACTTATTTGATGCCTGCTTAAAACTACAGTTATCTTATGGTCTTCACACACGTTCATCTGTCATTTTACTAATACCTGTAAACCCTATGTCCTTATCCTATGCAAAGCTACAAGATCAAGTTGTTAGTCTAACCTTATCTATATCTATATTAACCTACTTGCTTATGTTTATTTATAACTATATCGACACACTGGCTTATCCTATGGCTTAAATCCTATGTCATCTTACCTTATTCCTATAGTCTTTAATCTAGGTCTATTGCTTATTGATTATCTATTCTATCTTGCCTTATACCTATAACCTATGTCTATGACTTTTTGATTATATTGATCATGCACACCATAACACTTCAAGCCAGTAAAGGTTGAAGAGGGCCAGGTGCAGGGTCGCTCACCTGTAATCCCAGTGGATCAGGAGGCTGAGGCAGGAGGATCACAAGATTAAAGCCAGCCTCAGCAATTTAGCAAGGCCCTAAGCAACTCCGTGAGAGCCTGTCTCTAAGTAAAATACAAAAAAGGGCTGGGGATGTGGCTCAGTAGTTAAGCTCCCCTGGGTTCCATATCTGTTGCACAAACAAAACAAAATGAACAACAATAACAAAAAAGACTGAAGTGGTTTGTTATATAGAAATAACAAATGGGTTGTGTCAATTTTTGGCTTTCCCAAACCCAGTGACACCAGCAAGCAGAGAATCCCCCTGTCCTTTTGGATATGTTCCACACCTGGCCTTGGTCACGGTCCACAGGTAAACCTAGACCCAGGTGCTCATATCTAAAGATTTATTGAGCTGTACACTCAGGTAAGTGAGCCCACTCCATGTAAATTATGGCCAATTGGGGCTGGGGCTGGGGCTCAGTGGTAGAGCACTCTCCTAGCAAGTATGAGGCACTGGGTTCCATCCTCAGCACCACATAAAAATAAATAAATAAAATAAAGGTATTGTGTCCAACTATAACTAAAAAAAAAAAATTGAAAAAAAATTATGGCCCAATTAAAAAGTGGAAAAAGAAAAAACAATCAGCCCCTTCTCTTAAAAGGTCTGTGCTGTTGTGATAAGGAAGCATACATGTAAATAAGGCTCTGATTCAGAGAACACGCTTTGCAAAGCGGGAGGCCTAAACACGCTTGGCTGCGCAGAGGCAGGCGCAGGGACCCTGGGAGGGCAGCTGCCACCACACTTGGGTGAGGGCAGCGCAGGGCCACCCACAGCGTCTCTCCCTCGAGGCCCAAGCCAGGCAGCCGGGTCAGCTCTCACAGGACACAGGCAGGACTTCTAGGCCCAGGGGCACCGGGCTAGGCCTAGAACCTGCAGGGGAGGCAGGGGAGGCTGGCAGCGTGGGGAGAGAGGAGGACAGCGATCCGGGGCAGGAGCACGAGAGGTGGTGGAGGCTAACCTAGGGGAAGATGGCGGCAGACTCAGATGCAAGACTGAGTGCAACATGAGTTGCACCTTTTACACAAAAGGGGAACTTACCAGAGCTTTGAGGGGTGGCTAATTTGAGGTGTCGACTTGAGCAGGCCAAGGGGCGCCCAGTAGCTCTCTCGGGATGTTTGTGAAGGGGCTTCCAAAAGGGCTCGGCATTTGCACTGGTGAACTGAGCCACAGCTGGCCCTCCCCGTGTGGGTGGTGTGTCTGACTGCGTCCCTCGGGGCTTTGGCTTTGTGGGCCGGGAGATGGTGTGGAGACTTATTTAAGAGACGGGGCTGGTGGGGGCGGTGAGCTCAGGGCGGCGTGGAGGGTGCTGCTCAGGAAGGAACTGATGCAGTTTCAGGGGCCGCTGGTTGGTTCTTGCAAGAGCTTGTTGTGAAAGAGTGAGCCTGGCCTCTCCTCCTCTCTGACTTCCTATCTGGGCACATGAGCTCCTCCTCTCCCATGTGCTCCCACCATTGGGATGCCATCTGCCATGATGGGATGGGGGGCTCCCAAAGTCAGCAACAACTATTTGGACTCTCGGACTCCAAAACTGTGAGCTAAATGAACCTCTTATCTTCATATATCAGCCAGCTCCAGGTATTTTGTTGTAGCAACAGAAAACAGACTAATGTAAGGGGCATCATCCATTTTTCATGAAGTCCCTGAATAGAGCAAAAAGGTAGAGGAAGTCAAATTCCCTTTGTGCTTGGCTGCTGGAGCTGGGACATCAGTCTTCTCCCGCCCTCAAACTGGGACTTACCCCATCAGCATGCCTTGTCCTCAGGCCTTGAGACCCACCTGGTGCGACTACCTCACTGGCTCTCAGACCTCTGAGCTGCGCCAGCTTCCTGGTGGTGTATGACTGTGGATTCCATTTCTCTGGAGAACCCCAATAGACTACTTAAGCACAAGAATCACACACTAAGGACTATGTCTGGGAAAATAGATTTTCAACCTGTTTGATGTGATGAGCATAATCAATTTGGTTCTCATTATTGAGTAACGTTGATTTTCAAGACTAAGAAAAAAATGTGGTTTGAAATAACTTCCCTTGGAGGGGAAGTCACAACTTTGCAATTCTTTGTTTCAACCAGACTCAAGTGCTTGATGGATGACTTGGCTGAAGATCTCGAATGCCAAGTCCTTTCCCAGGGGTCAGTCCAGGGTTTTGCTGTTTTGTTTCCTTTCTTGCCATGAGGTGAGATGAATGTATTAAAAGAAGCAAATTGTGCTCCACTGCTTATTTGTACAAAATACATGGCAACAGCTATTTTCTCAAGATGCTGAGATAGCAACGAAGCTAATGGTTGTGATGTCTTCCAGACTGGGTTTATTTAGTTATTTTGTTAGTTATAGATGGGCACGATATCTTTATTTAATTAATTTATTTATTTATATATGGTGCTGAGGATCAAACCCAGTGCCTCACGCACGCAAGGTAAGCGCTCAACCACTGAGCTACAAGCCCAGCCCCAGACTGGGTTTTTACTGAATTTGATTTTAGCCAGTTATTAGAGCATTATTACTTTGTGCCAGGCACTGTGCTACATGTTTTAGGTGCATTGTCTCATTTAGACATCTAGCTCAAGATCCCATGGCCTCAGGAAGGATGTTGGGGAAAGGCACACTCATACGTTGCTGGTGGGACTGCAAATCGCTCTGGAAAGCAGTATGGAGATTCCTCAGAAAACTTGGAATGGAACCACCATTTGACTCACTCATCCCACTCCTCAGCATATACCCAAAGGACTTAAAATCAGCATATGATAGTAACACAGACAATGTTTATAGCAGCTCAACTCACAATGAGTTGAAACCAACCCAGATGCCCTACAACAGATGAATGGATAAAGAAAATGTGATATATATATACACACACACACACATACACACAACGGAATATTACTCAGCCATTAAGAACCAAATTGGGTTGCGATTGTGGCTCAGCAGTAGAGCTCTTGCCTAGCATGTGCGAGGCCCTGGGTTCAATCCTAAGCACCACATAAAAATAAATAAATAAAGGTATTATGTCCAACTGCAATTAAAAAAATATTTAAAAAAAAGAAGAACGAAATTATGGCATTTGCTGATAAATGGATAGAATCAGAGATTATCGTGCTAAGTGAAATAAGCCAATCCCAAAAACCAAAGGTGAATGTTCTTTCTGATATGCGGATGCTGACTCACAATAGGCGGGACCGAGATGGGAGATATAAGTTCACTGGATTAGACTAAGGGGAATGAAGGGAAGGGAGAGGGGATGGGAATAGGCAAGACAGTGGAATGCACTGGGCATGACTTCTCCATGTTCATACGTGATTATACGACCAGTGAAACTCCACATCATGTTACAACCACAAGAAGGGAAAGTCATACTCCATGTATGTAGGATATGGCAAAATATACTCTACTGTCATGTATAACTAAAAAGAACGAATTTTTAAAAAGACCCCAGGGCCAAGCTGAGACCTGGAGTCAAGCTCGGCATCCACTGTCCTCACTACCATCTTAACATGAGTGAACTTCAATGGAAAACTATTGGGATTTTCAGCGTTGCTCCTCTGGCCACACTGGGTTGACAATCGGGACCCCAGGGAACATCAAAGAAAGACTCCTGAGTGGAGGATATGCCTTCACCCCAGGCTGGCAAGCTCTGCCCAGGACAACAGAGAGGACTGCAGAACTCAACCCTGGAAACCAGACCCCGAAAAAGCTCAGGTCGCTAAATCTCAGCCCAGCAAACCTCTCACCTTCTGTCCCAGACTGGAGCTTGACGGTAATGACTGGTTGTGACTCCACAAGGACGCTCCTTGACTTCCCACAGGGTTGTATCCCAACGAACCCATCATAGGTTGAAAATGCATTTATCCCACCCAATCTCCAAACATCCCAGCACAGCCTGCCTCAAATGTGCTCATAACACTTCACGTTAGCTGACCGTTGAGCAAAACCATCTAACAGGAGCCTAGTTCATAATGAAGTGTTGAACAGCTCGTGCAATTTATTAAATATTGTCCTGAAAGCGAAAGACAGAACAGACATGCAGGTATGCTTTCCCATCCTTACAAAGTTGCAAACTTGTAGGTCTAATTGTTAGGTTGGTGCTATCTGCATCATCGGTGGCTGCATAGCCAATTACAAAACCAAGCATCTTGAAACAATGAGGATTTATCATCTCTATTTCCGAGTCAGAATTTGCAGAGTGGTTTAGCTGAGTGGTTCTTGCTGGAATCTCCCATGATGTGGCCATCAAGATAGTGGTCAGGGCTTTCTTCACCCAAAGACTTGACTGGGGCTTGAGGACCCACTTCCAAGATGGCACACTCACGTGGATGGCCATTCAGTGCTGGCTCTGGCAGGAACCTCAGGTCCTCCTCACCTTGACCCCTCCACAGGTAGCTTGAGCATCCTCATGACATGGCGGCTGCCTTCCCAAAACACATGATTGGAGAGAGTGGGCAAGACGGTGGCCACAAGGCCTCTCCCAGCCTGGTCCTGGGTGTCGTCATCACTTCCAAACACTTGCAGTTAGAGGGGGGTCTCTAGGTCTGTCCCCACCTCAAAGGGTGGGGCATGAGGCTCTAGACTTCAAGGGGGAAATGTCCAAGGATCTGTAGACGTATTTCCAGCCTATCACAGTCTCTTTCAGCTGAGAGCACAGAACCTCAACTGCAGTAAGGAAGCAGCTATGGGTCTTGCAAACGAACCAGGGGAGGATGGGGCAGAGCTGGTCTCTCAGGGACTGGTCCCAGGGACCTAAAAGTGCCCTCTCTCTCCACCATGACCAACGTCAACGACTGCCTGAAACCCCGTTTCACAGCCTCTTGGCCAGAACAGAAGCTCAGGCCCTAGTGGGAGCTCCTGGCCTCTGGCCTCCTGTGTTTGGGAGGGTCAAGGATGGACTCGGATTAGTCCAGCTCCAATCAGGTGCTGGCCCCTGGGCCCAGTCACCGTGGCCAGAGCTGAGGCTCTGTGATTGGCCGGCCTTGGGTCACACGTCAAGGCCTGTGTCTGGAGGGTAGGACCCGGTACCCGAGCGGGATGCCGGGAACTGGTGAGCTGGGAGGGAGAGATACCCAAGACTGCCAGGCCGGAGCCGGGCAGCCGTCCCAGCTGTGCGTGCAACTGTGGCTTGGCTGGATTTATGAGCCAAAGGTCGCAGTAGCCCTATTTTTGGAATAGCAGGAAAAAACAGCTGCTTCAAAGTCTCAAAATGGTAACTTTCCACCAGAGTGGCCTGGTCGCTAGATCTCCCTGAAGACTCACTAAAAGTACCGCCTCAAACTTCCGCGAGGCCACCACCTTCTTGCCGCTTGGAAACCAGAACCCCGTCCAGGCACAGCTGATGGGCGGCCGCAGCCTTCACTCCATCTCCCTCCCAGCTGCTGCTCAGAAGGACAGGCCCCGAGAAGCGCCCGGGAAGCTCTGAGCTCCTGCCTGGGGGCCAGGGTCCCCGCAGGAAAGGCAAGGAGCCCCTCCCTCGCTCTGTTCCGAGTGTCCAGTGGGAAGGTCTGGAGCTCAGTGTGGGGTCACTGCCAAAAACAACTCCCAGAGACGCACCAGGCCATCCTCGGGGACCAGACGTCCCCTGGGGGAGAGGAGCCCCTGGTGGCCAGCTCACTCGCCCTGCGAGCACAGGCCCAGCCGCCGGAGGTTGGACGTGACCTGTGCTTCTGCTTCAGAAATGCCTGTGGCTCCGACTCCGCTCCGGTCGGGATGTTTACTATTTAACTAATATTGGTGTCTTAAACTGCCATTTTGGCCACTTCAGCTCCCGGAACATACCCGAGAGAATTTTGCGGGGCGGTTTGGGAAAGAATGCCTGCTTGCTGTCCGTCTGCTGCAAACGGCAGCTCGTCTCTAAAACAGCGACTGGCCCACAGAAGGTGCTCGGCACCAGTGACCACCCGGCCGTTGGAAGAGGGACAAGCCCTCAGGTCACTCACAGGGGGAGGGGGCCACGGAACAGTTGCCGTCGGAGGTGAGGCTGGGAGACATGGCACCAGATTCCAGCAGCTCCCCTGCCCGGATGGTTCAACTGAGGAGCAAGGGCCACAGGGAGCCCTGAGCCCTAGGCTGAGCCCTGGTCCCAGGTCTGAGCCCTGATCCCAGGTTGAAAGCAGCCTTGGGGGCTGGGGCTGGGGCTCAGTGGCAGACCACTTGCCTGGCACATGTGAGGCACTGGGTTCAGTCCTCAGCACCCCATAAAAATAAATAAAAGTATTGAAAGCAGCCTTGGTTCTACCCCGGAGTCTGGATGCACCATTTACCTCACAGTCTGGGCTCTTCCACGAAAGGACAAACCCTTGGGTGAACTGAGGCCAGCCCCTTGAACCGCCCCCCCCATCCTTCCTAAACAGTTGCTGGGAGGACCAGGAGCTCCTGCTGACCCCGTGGCTCTCCTGGTCACCAGACGCCCCACCTCCCCAGCCAGGGAGCAAGTCCAGGCCCTGTCTTTAAATGTTTCCACCTTGAAATATGAGCCATCCACTGGGTGTGGTGGCACACACCTGTAACCTCAGTGGCTCTGGAGGCTGAGATAGGAGGATCCGAGTTCAAAGCCAGCCTCAACAAAAACAAGGCCCTAAGCAACTCAGTGAGACCCTGTCTCTAAATAAAATGGAAAACAGGGCTGGGGATGGGGCTCAGTGGTTGAGTGCCCCT